CGCAGACTTCTACACCTTCTGTGCCAGCGATCGCACGTATATAGCTTACGTAACAGAAACCTGGGACACATATATTTGCTCCCAGTTTACTGGTCAAAAAGTTTCTTTCAATGACTTAAAGATCCTGTTGTGTAGACTAGCAGGATAAAGGGATTATTCCCGGAAACCCCCTCCCTTCTATTCTATTATCCACGCATTCTACGGATTGTTGTTGAATGTTGGACGCCTAAAGTTACTTAATTTTCAAATCTTAAGTTTATCGGTAGGGGTCTCGTAGCTCTGATAGTTAGAGCGTTGGTTGAAATAAAGTTTATTTACTTAATTACCATATAAATGTAAAAGCCTGATGAGCATTATCGAAAACAAACGTATGTTTACTATTTTATCTTCTGAAATAAAGTAGCCTACTCTCTGTCATTGGTTCGAATCCCATTGAGGCTGCAATTCTTTTAAAACAAAATGCATTAACCGTTTCATAAGTGATAGCCATAAACCTGTACGTGGACTGCCAGTATTGTGGATCATGCAACATATAATACTACTAGCTGCGTGTTGGTGGTTGGCTCATATAACATACTTATCCCGCTGAAGTATAGTTGAGTTCAAAATGTAAATAAACATTCCAGCCAAGCATATCAAGGCTAGTTCTGCGGGATTTACGGTAATTAAACGTATTTATTTTGGTTCGCCTGTTAGACATCTCTTAGCCCATTTATTCATAGGCTACTGGAGAACTTTCAAACAACTAATCAGGCGAACAATTTAAAATACTACGGTCGCCACGTTGATGACGTTCTTGCAATCGTCAAAACAGAGACCAACGGTAGTTGCCATTTTAAATGCAGTAAATTAAGTACACTCGCTCATCCCGTTCATGTTGAAGTTGAAGGTGACAGGCTTACTTCCTTGCTTATACGTCCCTCTAAGTCGAAGACCTGATGGTACCGTCCGGGGAAGCATTTATCGGAAGAAACTTGGTCTGAATGACATACGGTCTCCGGCATTTTCTTACCATTCAAGAAGAACACAATCTATTTCATTGCTTGGCACGAAGGTGGCGAAAAAAGTGTTCGAAAGACAGTATCGAGAATGAGCTTAGAAAAACCCGGGATTTGTTTTGCGAAAACGGGTATCCGGATAGATATCTAGCAAAGTTTACAGGCGCGAGACCAGTGAAACCTAACACGCTCAACGAAGAAAACTCTATTTCTCAAAGTACACTTTCAAGGGGATAGGGCAAGTGAACTCCTGAGTAAACGCCTCGACCAAGCTTTTTCACGAAACTTTGCGGCAGCGAGAGTTCGCATGTTACTTTCAAGCAACCCGGTATAACACAGAGAAGGTAGGAATAAGTTGTCGGCTCAGACCACCTCAATGAACATCTACTCATTTACTTGATCCCGTGAAGCAGACTACATTGGGCTGTACAATATGGCTGAAAAAAGGTGAAGTCGAGAGCATAAACAGTGCCTCTTTGCGCACATTGTGACTTCCCTGTGGTGCCTTCCACGTGATTTATAATGTTCCATCCAACTATCCCAAGTCCTTCGGTCAGCATCTGCTAGCAACAGTATAAAATATGGTCGTCAAGTTGAGGAAGCCGATGTATTGCGTACAAAATAAGCGCCTAAAATCTCCGCGCTTACCATGAGCAACGCTGGCGCAATTCTGTGTCTTCTCCCCCCTCCCCTCCCCCCCCACGATAACAGCTCCACAAACCCCTCACTGCCGTCTAACCAGCTGTAGCTAATAATTTTTCACCTATTCCTAACTTATTTTTAAAGAAAGGCGAACATATTGGACGGAATGTTTTACTTTCTACATCGTTCCCATATAAATGTACGAGAATGAATCGAAAGCGCGCGTATGCTCGCCGAAATGGTCTTTTGAATTTTCAAAGAAACTAAAAAACCGAAACTAG